GTGAAGGAGATTTATTAGATTGGCTTACAGAATAGAGGCCCAGTAGTCCAACAATGGCTGTGCTGTGCTGGAGATGCCAAGAATCTGAATAGCTGCTCAATCCATGAGGCTGGATGCCTCAGTAGTCCCAATCTGGTGCTGAAGGCTTGGAGAATTCCTGGAGGTCTGTGAGTCTTCAGTCTACATTGGAATCCAAAGAAGTTGGTTTTACTATCAGTGGAGGAAACCACAGCAGCAAGATGACACCGCCAGTGAGAGAGAAGGCAAGCAGGCAAAAAGCAGAAGCTCCCTTCTGCCCTGGCCTTGGGTAACGCCCACACTCAGGGTGGGTCTTCCAGCTTCAAAATAATCAGATCCAGAAAGTCTCTCTCATTTCAACTAATTCTAGATCCAGTTAAGTTGACAACCAAGATTAGCTATCACAAGTCAACTTGACATCTAATTACATTTACTTTTACCATGTTTAATTTTCAAATGAAAACAATGGCAAGGTCATAATTTTGCCTCACATGATATAACTGTCCTGCGTACAATTGCAAGTGCATCATATACCTTAGAGTAGGTGGTAAGGACCTTGAGGAATGCTTAGTCCTTTAGTATCTCATAACCTAGATTTGCAACACTTAACAACTCCATTAGACATTTTTTTTTTTTAAAGAAAACATACTCTGTAAGGGCTCTCTAGTGGGGAGGGGGAGGCTGTGGGAGGGTGCCACGTGAGAAGTGGGTGATAGATGAATAAGATGGTTTGGGATGTTCTGTGTGATATATACACACACAAAAACATCAACAAAAATGAGTTATATTGAGGAGGAAGCATAAAAATTTACGTCATGTTAATTAGTAGAGGTGATCAATATTGCCATTGAAATATACCCAATGACTTTATATCCATACACAGGTGTCAAGGATCCAAATGCAATTGACTATGACTAGTAATAATCAGATATATACAGATTAGAGACGCATGCGCCAACATTTAAGTGTTATTAGCAAAAACAATGAGTCTTTCTGTAAGAAGCAGTATATTTTAAAATGAAATGGAGATTTTTTTTTTTGGTGTGGTGTTTTTGAGACAGAGTTTCCCTGTAGCCCCAGCTGTCCTGGAACTCACTATGTAGAGCAGGCTGGCCTCAAACTCACAGAGAGCCACCTGCCTCTGCCTCCCAAGTGCTGGGATTAAAGGCATGTGACACCACACCCAGCATGAGTTTTAGTTTTAACTTTTTTTGTTTTTGTTTGAGACAGGGTCTCACTGTGTTGGCCTGGAACTCACTATGTAGACCAGGCTGCCCTTGAATGCACAGAGACCCACCTGCCTCTGCCTCCTACTTTTGAAAGAGATGTGTCTTTGCTCTGGAAATTGTTACTATGTTAAAGCTGTAATGAAATGCTTCTTCTAAAAAATAAAGAATTTTTTTAAAAAGCCATTCAGAAAAAAAGGAAAACACAAATATTTGCTTAATGTGTATATGTACAAGCATGTTCTTAACAAAATAGGACAAAAATACTCATTTCAATCACAAGCCTCTTCCGCAACTGGTCACATGGCCTTAGGTTGGTGTTTATAACCACCTTACTCTAACTACCCTTTCTGTATTGCCTGCACATCCTCTTGGTACGAACGTCCATATTAGTTACTTTTTGGTTGCTATGATAAAACAGTGTGACCAAGGGGATTTATAAAAGGAAGAGATTAGGGCCTAGAGAGATAGCTCAGTGGTTAGGAGCACTGAGTGCTGCTGCCGAGGACATGAGTTCGGTTCCTAGTACCCACATGGCAGCCAGTAGCCATCTGTAACTCCAGTTCCAGGGGATCCAGTGCCCTCTTCTGGTCTCCACAAGCATTGAACAATGTGGGTGCACTTACATACATGCAGGCAACACACTCATACACATAAAATATTTGAAAAAGGATAAAAGGATTAGTTTACTTGAGCTTATGTTTCCAGGTTCCAGAGGGATTAGAGTCCATCATGACGGGAGGCATGGCGAGCTGGCTGGAACAGGAGTAGAAAGCTGAGTGCTCACATCTTCAAGCAGGCACAGGAAGCTGATAAACTGGAAATCAGGCCAGGCTTAAGAACTCTCAAAGCAACCCCCAGTGACCTGCATCCTCTGGCATGGCCATACCCCCTAGAGCCTCCTAAAACAATGCCACCAACTGGGGACAAAATGTCCAAATACTTGGCATCTATGGAGAGACATTCTCATTCAAGCCACCACAACCCATCGTGACCTGACCATTTACTCGCGTCATCCATTCTCTGCCAGGCCCAGGATTTCCCAGCCCTGAGTCAATGCTTAATCATTTGTGGCAGGATAAAGCTTATTTGCTTTAAAACTTAATGTGGAAAAAAATGGAATCCTTATCGAAACTTCTGGCGCTACAAGGTAGTAGTAGATTTATATTGAACTGGGAGCGGATGCAGAAGGGTCTCACGGCAGCATTGTAGATACTATTGTCTGCCTTCCTCACGTTACTTTTTAATTTTTTCAGACAGACTCACATAGCTCAAGCTGACCTTGAATTTGCAGTAATGACCTTGAGCTGATCCTCCTGCTTCTACCTCCAAATGCAGGGACAGTAGGTGTGTGCCACCTACCTGGCTCTCACACTGGCTCTAGACACATCAGCTGTCCATGAATTAGTTCCTTCCTCCTCCTTCCCTGTCATAAAGTAGGTCCATGGTGATTTCTTTCTTATTAGATTGTAGACTATGAAGTAAGAAAGAATCACGGTAGAGCTTTATACCAAGTTTTACACATCGTATGTAGTTGCTAGATGTCTAAGACCTTATTTTTATGCCCGGAGTAACTTTTGGCTATTTTTGATGTGAAGTGGGAGAAGAGTCAGTGTAAAAATTCTTTTTTCTTTTTACCCCCAGAGTTTAGAGTCAGTGTGAGTTGTAAAGATATTGTAGTGGGTTTTATAGTTGTCAGATGTTGACTTGGTTTTATTTATTTGAATACTTCAGTGGCAATTACTTACACATATTCTCTATCTTTAGTACTAATTATGAGGAGAGGGGAAGGTGGGAAGCTCTTCTTTAATGTAGATGGAATTCAAATGTAGGAAGGACCCAAATTCATTGAGATAACCAGAGCAGTTTGTCCCATTAGATGTTAGTGTTAGTAGCTGCAGTGCAGCCCGGCAGCACTGTGGGGTATGAGGGATGCACTGCAGTCTGACAGTGTGGCGCTGTCTTTCTTGAAAGAAAACTGACTCTGAAAGTTGTCCTCTGACTTCCACACAGGTGCCTTGGCACATATGTATGTGCACACTTGCACACACAACAAATATATAAGTGTAATTAAAAATTTTTTAAAAAGGGGTACCATGGCAGGATGTGACATTAGCTTAAATCATTGAAGCCTAAGGACTCAGTCGTTCTAACATGCATAATCCTCATTTTGCAGGTTGTGTAGATCAATACTCATTGGTCTTCTTCTATTTAGCCTCAGCTGTCGACTCGACGCAGCTTTGCGTCTGTCTGAGGTAGTCTCAGATTAGCCTATGGCCCTGTGTGTGAGAGAGTATAGTGATTGGTGATTGATGTGGGAGGGTCCAGCCTACTGTGGGCCACACCATCCCCAGGTTGGTGGGCCTGGACTATATAAGAAAGCTAGCTGAGCATGAACCAGTGAGCGGACCACTGAGAGAGCCAGTAAGTAGCCTTCTTCTAGGGTTTCTGCTCCAGGTTCTTGCCTTGAGTTCCTGCCTTGGCTCCCTTGGCCATGGACTGGTGCTACCTGAAGTCAAAGGTATTGTTGCTTTTGGTTATGATGTTTATCACAGAACAGGAAAGCAAATTAGCACAGGTCCTTTAACTACTTTTGTTTAAGGAAACTTTATGGCTTTTATCAGGGAGAGGACTATGTAGGAAACCTGTAAGTCACATATTCTCCTTAACAATGAGAAAAGGTATGACAGCAAACGAGTAGGTGTTTTATTACCAATGAAGTGAATGTGTGGAGATCCGTTTGTTACTACATTTCCTGCTTCAGTGTTTTGATTTCTTGTTCTTTAAGAAGCAGGAGGGAGAAAACTGATGGTTGCATTCCATGCCAAGGTCACTGCTCCATATGTTTTCTGACTTTTTAATCTAATAACATTCGGTTGGAGGCATTCAGGCCCGCTCCCACTGGTAAAGGCAGAGCTGCAAAGAAATCAGCGTTCCACCAGAACTTACACAGCGAGCTTTCTGGAGATCAGACCTATTTGAGATCTTCGTGAAAAGCACTCACACTTCTTCATAATTCCAGATTAAGACAAAGAACCATATAATGTGTACACATTTGGCAATTTTTTTTCTTGTTAAGTTCAAGTATCCTACATGTAGCTAAGGTAAGCCTTACACTCACTGTGTAGCTAAGGCTGACTTTGAACTCCTGACCCTTCTGCTTCTACTTCCCATGCTCTGGACTTGACCCACCTTGACTAGCCAGTCTCCTGTAAAAAGAAAATGAAAGAGCTGGCAATATTAGTTATGTAAGCCAAGTTTTGTTAATTGGTTAATAGCTTTGGACTGTGAGTTTTTCCAAAGAAATTATAAAGTAAGGGACTCTTGTTTTTTTGTTGATTAAAATATTCTTGGAAATTCTGGATCTTTTTACCTGGTTTTTAAACAATGTTGTTTCAACCAAGAGAACTTTTAATTTGAAATTTTGCAGTTCTGAGAAATTTATGACACTAGGAAATGATTTCAGATTGCATGTCACTCTGAAAAGGATAAATCAAACATAGCTTTTTGTTATTGTTGAATTGAGTTTCATTGATGATTAACTTTGAATAAGAAATACTTTAACTGAGATTGCAAACTCATGCAACCCCTATGGAAAGCAGTGTGGAGAACTCTTCAAAAACTAAAAATGAACCTACTATATGATCCAGTTATACCACTACTTGGCATATACCCAAAGGACTCATCCTATTGTACAGACACTTGTACAACCATGTTTGTTGCTGCTCTTTTCACAATAGCTAAGAGATGGAAGCAAACTAAATGCCCCTCGACTTGGTTTAAAAAATGTGGTATATTTATACAATGGAGTTCTATTCAGCAGTAAAGAAAGGTGAAATCATGAAATTTGCAGGTAAATGGATGGATCTAGAAACCGTTATACTAAGTGAAGTAACACAGACTCAGAAAAATAAAAGATGTATGTTCTTCCTCATATGTGGATCCTAGCACCAAATTATTTTAAGTTCCATGTTCTTTTAATAAGATGATGCTGTCAAAAAAAAGAGAAATACTTTAACTGAATTTATCAGAGCTACAGGGATTAAACATTTTGCACAGTGAAATGTAGTGAAATTTTTGGAAAACTATTTCTAGAGTTCCTAAAGAAAAATCTTTAAAGTGTGATGCAAGTGTAACATGTGTATTTTGTACCCCCACTTAGTTCCTAGTTTTGTAAACATCAGTTTTCATATGACTTGTGCACTGTGACTGTTGCCAGGAAGGGGAGTGAGCGGGACTTCTTTTCCCATGACCCCTCACTGTCATGTCCTTCCAAGGGCTCCTTTCTCAGAAATGCCTTGATAACCACACTCATTCCTGACATACCCCCAGCACACCACTGCCTGATGCTGCCGTGCCCACAGTCCAGCTGTAGCTTTCCTCAGAACAGTGACTATCCATGAAAATGTTCTCCTGGGATACGTTGTATCTGTGTTAGGATGTTATTTATTTATTTATTTATTTATTTTTAACAGAAATTCAGTATCTCTGTGTCAATCTGAAAATTGTTTTAAAAGTTTATTAATTTTGGGGGGGGGGACTCCCTAAAGCCTGTAAATGCATGCTTGTCCTTTCTGTGATTTTTCCAAAGTTTGAGAAGTCTGAAATGCTAGACGACTTTGGACTTTGTCACTCACTGACCCACTATGCACATGCAGGCTTTGCAGAAAAACCTAGCTTGACTGGGGATGCAGCTCAGTTGCTGTAGTGCTTGCCTGGCGGGCATGAAGACCCTGGGTTTGATCCCTGATATGGCATCAAGTCAAATATTTCATGAAACCAGATGTGGTAGTGCATGACTGTAATCCTAGCACTTGGGATGTAGAGGCAGAGGATCAAGAGTTTAGGGGCATCCTTAGCTACATAGCAAGTTCTAGGCCAGCCTGGGCCACATGAGACCCTATCTCACCAGGAAAAATAAAAGAAGATGAAGAAAGACCTAGCTGTGCTCACTACCTCTAACCCTACCTCTTCCTTTGCCATTTTTTTAAATATGTAGTTTTTGGAGAAATTCTAGGATATTGTATTTGTATCATTCCCACCCCCTCAGCCATCTAAACCCTCCCATGCCCCCTAACTCCTTCTCAATTTCTTGTCTTCTTTGATTGTCAATGTGTATGTGTGTGTGTGTGTGTGTGTGTGTGTGTGTGTGTATGTGATCTTCTTTGATTCTTGTTAACATGTACATTTGTAAATGATGTGCTTGAACTTTTCCTTTTGATACAGAAGGGGAGAAAATATATTTGCTGAGGAAACCCCAGGCCACTGAATTTATTCTAATCTTAGGTGAGGGCTAGCATTCTTTTATAGATGGAACATTGAGACTGTGAGGAGGAGCCTAAGAACTTACTTGAGGTAGGCAAAAGCTAGTCATGGAAATGAGATCTTACCCCATTCGAACCCATTTGAATGGCAACAGTGTTCAAGGCCTGAACATTATCTAGGAGCTTTCTGATCTGTGGAAGAAAGCAAAGGTGGGGGAAAGAATGCCTAGAAGACAGAGTTCCATACAGGTTGGGTCCTGCGAATGAAGGAGGCTGGTGCCTAGACTTGCAAGAGAACGGATGGATGGAGGGAGGAAGTCCTCAACTGCTAGCCCTGCTCAGGCACCATCTCTGATGCTCCAGGGTGGGTTTAGCCACTGGCAGAGTTTGACTCAGGGCTGATGCAGCTTTGGAAGTTTGACTGGATTATTTAGAAGCACACACACACACACACACACACACATACACAACACGTACTGACAAACATTATATAACAATATTTTGGTTAACAACAGACTGCATATACAATGTCACTCCTATGTGTCCTAGATGT